CTCCAATGAGAGACTGTGGGACCTGAACCTGTTCAGCCTTCACAAGAGAAGGCTGAGGGGGACCTGGTGACTGTCTATAAACTCACTAGGGGGGACCAGAAGGGTTTGGGAGAGATCTTGTTTCCCCTAGCACCCCCTGGCATAACAAGGAATAATGGCCACAAGTTGTTGGAGAGTAGGTTTAGATTAGACATTTGTAAGAACTACTTCACAGTCAGGGCAGCTAGGATCTGGAACCAACTTCCAAGGGAAGTGGTGCTACCTCCTACCCTGGAGGTCTTTAAGGGGAGGCTTGATGCTTACTTAGCTGGGGTCATTTGAGCCCAGTTTTTTCTCCTGCCCAGGCGGGGGATCCGACTTGAAGATCTACAAGGTCCCTTCCAAACCTACTTCTATGATTCTGTGATTATTACATATTTTGGCCCAGTTACTCCATGAATGTGCAATCAAAGATAATTAAAGTGTGCACATTAAATCAAGCTGCTACAGTAGTTCCTTTTAAATAATTTAAGACACTATATTATTGCCATCTCACCTTAGTATTCATGATAGTCTAAAAGATATTTAGATAAAGAAGAGCAGTCTAAACAATTTGTATTCCAAATACAGTAGTTTACCAAATCAGGTATATATAGCTAAAAAGCTTACTGAGTTTTCAGATTCTACACACTGTTACAGAGTACATCATAAAATTTCCACTTAAACCCTGCTGTTGGTAATGTGATAAAGCATTGTATCTCATAGTTTGTGGAATTTGTGGGTTATTATTACCACATGGCTTGTATATTCTGGCAACATTTGATATTAATCATCATGAAGATACATATATAATGGATGATTTGTTATAAACTGTTTACTCAGTTACTGCATTGATAAAACAAAACTAGTCTGATCATAACTGCTTTTGTCATATATTTATCACTGCCCCATAATGGTTTGACCTGGAAACCTATTGCTAATAGACCAGAAAATGCTCTTATGTGTCACTGTAGAAGTCTTTGCATATTGACACAATGACTAATTTAACTGTTTTCAAAAATCCAAATGTGTTACATCTGTAACAATACACTGTTGCTTCTCTTCCAGTATAAATAAAGTACATTCTGCAACCTTGGATCAATAAACTACTTATCAAAGAAGTAATTAACTTCATCTTACAGCTCAAACAGCTCTAAAACTAGAAACAAACACAGACTTCATGTAACAATGTATTTATTTTTGCAAAATCCTACTTATATTTTTCTACAATGAATTCTTGTCAGTTTGTCTAAGCAAAAGGGCACAAAAATGTTGAAGTAAAGATGAATATCTGTGCTCTGTTCACCAAGCTGGCAAATTATTTATGGTACCAAGGAATTCCAATCCTATTACACATCATTATTGCTCTCTTGGGGGAATATTAGCCTTGAGGGGAGAGTATTGTTGTACATTAAGTCTTGGTTATCAGTTGTAAGATATAGTTTCTTTAATTCTAAGAATTTATCAGTTGCCAATACAAGAGTTATGGAAGAGCTAACAAAAGTATTTTTATCACAACTTCACATAATATCTCACATCCAGAATATTGGGGGAAAATGGATTGAATCTTAGTTTGTATTTGCTTAATAAAGCATTCAAGTGTGCAAGCTGTTAAGGCTATTTGATATCCAGGTGCAGAATATTACTTGCAAGAGCCAAGTAAGACTTACAGTCTTTAGCCTACATTGCCTCTGAATTAAGAAGTCATGTTGAGTTCAGTCTTTGGTTTGGGCTTACTCAGCCTTGCCAGAAATCTCTAAGGATATTGCAGAATTACCAAGTGTTTCATGGCAGACTAAGTAACTGCATTGTGTGGAAACAGAACAAAAAATTGAAGTTTCATATGAAATCACATGTACGTGTTCTGATTTGAAAGGTGACAAAAGGAGTTAAACGTCTTGGTTCCAAACTTTATGAACCTTGTTCATTGCTATATATATCTTGGTACTAATGAACATGTCAATATTTGGCTGAGATATTTAGTTATGTTAGTTTCTGTGATGATTTAGCCTGATTTTTTTTTTTTATACACTTCAGCCACGGTTAACTACAAAGTAAGGGAAGAATTCACACTGAAATAAATCTTTTTGGAAAGTAACAGTATATAAAATGCTAGTTAGTTCTTGAGCCTTAGCTAGTGCTAACAAAAGCTAATGAACTGTAAAAGGAGGAGGATTTTCTCACCTTTTTGCCAGCGGATTTCCTAACTCAGTTCTGTTTCTTGGAAAAAGCTGTGGAAAGGTAGATAATGCTTAGCTGATGTGACTACACCTTTTAAATCACATTTATAGACTAAAATGACACCTTTTAAAGGGTCCCCTCCCACCACCCACAGTTTACAGAAGTATAAAGCACTTGGCCTTTTCTGTTGTCCTTTTTTATAAAGCTGGTCAAGTCTAGAAATATTTATAATAAATTACAATATCTGATTCTGAATTCTGATATCTAATCCTGAATTCTTTGATTCTGTGATACCATATTAGGAGAATCTGTATTATACATGTATAAATACATTGTGAGGCATTGTTGATCCATTTCTGAGAATCCTTTCCAGATCTCTCTCTCTCTCTTTCAGCTTGAAGTACAGTCTTGTTGTGTGTTCATTCCAAATGACAGCCTGCATTCTCCAAGTACAATTGTATCTGGTGACATTCCAGGAACTGTCCGAAGTTGGTACCATGGGCAGGCTAGTATGCCTGGTACACTTGTTGTTTGTTTGCCCCGGATAAAGATTATGAGTGCTGGACACAAATACATGGAGCCACTGCAAGAGATACCTTTTGTTGTACTAAGACCTATTCTGGAAGAAGGTATAGTATTAGAAATGTGTAATCCCTCCTTTTGATCATTTATAATTACATTTTATTTTGTTAACGTTTTATAGTACTATAATTATTATCTAGTTGTTTGCATTATTGTAGCTGCTAGAACCCCTAACTGCAGACACAGAGCAAAAGACAGTTCTTACCCCAGAGAGGTTACAATTGAAGCGTAAGTTAGGGGACCACAGATGATGGGGATACAAGAAAACAGCAAAATGATATTGGCTAGCATAATAGGTGGCTTTCATAGCCCATCATCAGTCAAAACCATTTTGAAGACATCATGGCAATGGAGGAAAGGTATAATGAGATCCCTGAAAGCATCCTTGAAGCTAACTGCTGCCATGCAGGAGGGTCAGCATGGAGAAGGAGTTAACATGCTTGATTGAAAACCAGTAAGTGGGTGGTAGAGTGGTATGATGGGTTGACAGAAGGCAAAATTCAATCTTTCGGCACTGAATAAGAGAAGATGAGAAGAGTAGTAGTAAGAGGGTAGGCTGCCATGAGCCCTGAGAGTGAAATTAAGACAAGTAGCCTATGTTTGATAGAGAAGGAGAAGCCAAAGGAGAAAGGCAAGATGGAGGTGACCTGGCCAGCAAAATGATCTTTGCAGCAGTGTACCGGATTAAAACTGATAAGGCAAGATTTCTAATTCAGTCTTCAGCCTAAAAGATTGTAAATCTCAAATAAGTGAGCTAACCTGCTTTCTTCAAGTATGATCCATGAGCTGCACAGCTGTACAAAAATGTTAAGGTTTCTGTACATGGCAGTCTGCATTTAATTAATTAGTCGAATCATGAAATTATTTGGAAAAAAATATTTTATGTATTTGAAAAAACAGACAGTTGTTAAAAGGTTTTTATAGCGATATTTAAAGACCATTTTTCTCTAGTTTCAAAATACAAAGTATTATCTAAATATTAAAAAACCATAAAGCATATAGCATGAAAACAGAGCTAAAATCATTTATAATTGTTATTCTTGCTCCTAAGGGTCTACTAATGTACATGGTTAGAAGTATGTTTTATATGATGTTTGTCTCTTCTACTCTGTAATCACCATTGCACCTTCTCCCATTCTTCCACTCCCACCTGCAACAGTGAAAACAAACTGCAGTGAATTTTTGATACAAAAAATATTCTTTCTAATAGTATATCAAGCGCTATTAAATCAGAAAATAAACGCAAATGTGAAAATAAATCCTTCCTCTGATTTAGTTGACTTACAGTGATCTTACTTGTTACATAGAATAATAGAAAGTAAATATCTATAACCAAAAATGACACTGTTTTAAATTGTGTGTATTGTTCTCTGAACTTAAAAAAAAAAGTAAGAAGACACTTGAGTTTTTCAAACTCAGAATTGGAGGAACAATTCTAGTGCAAGAGATAATACCCTTGGCTGGGATAAATCCTGTTGTAAGGAATGTATTTGTGTGTGGCTTTTCGCTCTGGGAATAATGCCAAACAGAAGTTCTCACAACCTTAATATTTTTGATTCTCTAATGGAGTTGTAGCCTTCTCCCATGCCAAACCTCCCCCTGAAACAGACTAGTATGAACGTTTTTTCAAAGCTTTTAAGTCACCTTCTTTGTTTCCTCCTATGTAGAGGTAAGTAATCTTTATAGACTTTTATTGGGAGGGATTCTAATTTGCCTCCTACATTTAAACAAGACTCCAGGGACATAACATCATTCTTAAAACACATTACCTTCTCTGTGAAATTATATGCATCCAGCCTTACTCTTCCTGAAAATTATTTTTGGACGGTTCATACTTTTGCAAGCAAAAATACAAGCAAATGGTCAGTTGTGATTAGTTACTTTAAGACTGCTACCAGGGCACTTCCACTTTCTTATTATTTAACAGAAAGTAGCACAGTCATGCTGGCATCTAGGGATATTGCTACATTGTCAGGAAGGCTTTTTGACCTCAGTGTCAACAGACAACAGGAATAACTCATTCAGTAACCTACCTAAATCTTTCAATTTGTCTCCTAAGTTCCAGCAATACTGTTTCTCTGAGGAAATGTAATTTTTAAGAATACTCTTTGTAATTACATTCAGAAGAACATATTAAGTATTGTAGTTTTATTCAGAATTCCTGTAAACAACATAGTCAGACCAAATAGCCTTCAAAATGGAACAGAGTTTATCATGGATATAACAAAAGGATACATTACTCAGAAATCTGTTGGGTAATAAATATAAGATGGACCATCACATATATTTCTAAATAACATTAAATAAGTCATTATGATTTAGGAAGAAAGTGAGTAAGAACTAGAGAGAAGCAGCAATCCTAGATTGACTTAATTAAATTTATTAAGTCTTAGGGAGTTAATAATGAGAATAATAGCAAATGCTGTTAAGGAAGTGGCCAGAGTAATTTCTAAAGAAATGTTAAAAAAAAAAAAAAAATCTCTGTGCACCTGTTTTTAATACCTCACCTATGATAATCATCTACATATATTGAAAATAGAGCTGCAGCAATACATTGGTCCATTTCGTATCAGCATGTAAATTGACATTATTGGCAATTGGCTTTTTTTGGCTCATGTGACCAATGTTGCTGATAAATGCTGCGTGATCAAGGCCTCCATGGTGAGGGAGGAGCTGGGGCAGAGGAAGGCACTGTGATGCTGGGGCGGGGTGGGGGACAAGACGTAGCTGCAACTCATGTTGGGGAGATGGCGGGGGGAGCAGCTCCCACTTCTGTGCACACCCCTGGTGGGGAGCATGGCAGCATGTACCCCCCAGATCTGTGCATAGGGCGAGGGCAAGGCTGTGTGCTTGGGGCTGAAGGCTGTCAGCCTCTTCCTGGTGGGGGGGGGTG